CACTTGGCTTACCAATGGTGCCTATAAGGCTCCTAATATGCTGCCAGAGCAACAGCTGGGAATATATTCTGTTCACAAATGCACCTGTTTCCTCTCTATAGAGGAACTGCACAGAAAGTCACTCCCATTTCTTGAATAAATACCTACTGGTGATCTGTTCAGCCCAACTGCTAGTTGCTGCAGCAGTAGCAGACAAAGCCAGTGTGTGCCCTGGGTGTCCCAGTCCTTCCAGCCGTGCCAGGAGGTGGACTTCCAGCTTCATTCTCCAGATGGACAATTAATATCCTCAGGAGGGCAATCTATAGACGTCCTTCAAAGTGCTGTTTGCTGTACTGAGAAACATAAATGGCAGCTTTGTTACAGGGCAGCAGAAAGAGATGAATTAGGTTCGTGACCGCTCCACTGGTCTGCTACATAACACAGACCAAATCACCATGTTGACCTTCTCTACTCCTCGCCTATCCAGCCGTCCTTTCTAACCTGCCAGTTTTGCATAATACTGAATTGCTTTTTATACATACCTGGTAAGATAAGATGGAATTTTTCAACCGCAAAATGCAGTAATATGCACTGACTGATTAAAAACAGATTTTTTTCCATAATATAACCTCTTAAATAAAATACAAACTTTCAGAAATGTTTAGGCAGACATCTGTAGAAGCCAGGACTTTAATAACACTGCATAAATTGTGGTTCTTTAGATGAGCTTTTTGCTTTCTCTTCCTATAAATGTCTGTCATTAGTTATGTGCAAAACTCAGAACTTCAGTTTTTGGAATGAATACTTCCCAGGTCTTGCTTGTGCAATATTAGATTAGGCATCTCATGAGTAGGAGCTTTTGTTGAACTCCTAGTTTTAAGTATGTTCCATGTCCTGGGAGTTCGGAAGTGGATGCAGCCAGGATGCTGCAGGACAGCTGTGCAACAGTTCAAGTTCTCCTCAACCCCCTTCGTTGCACTGGATTAGCCCATGGGGAAAAGAATGAGTTTATCAGTCCTCTAGCTCTCCTCAATAAGTCTTTAATGACATGCTTTAAATGCAGGGTGTCTGGTATTTGTTGTGCTCTTTTAACACTTCAGCTTCCAGTTTGACTACTGCATTGAAGCAAAAAAAAAAAAAAATCAAATATATTTGGGCCTCAAATATATCTACAGTTTTGCAAACCTTGATTAGCTCACATATCAGTCTGAGACTGGTTTTGGTTTTTAATTTAGTCAAATGCTTAATCTAGTCTTTCTTGAGCCTTGATTCCTGATCATTATTCTCGTCCTTCTTTGATTAATAATTCATTAGAAATAACGCTGAAACCCCCCAGATCCCAGCCAAGCCAACATTTGGATATCTTATAATAGTTTGATTGAAATGGGAATCTCTAAAAAAAATTACTTGTCCTATATTCAGTTTTGTCATTGTCTAAACTGGGACAAAGTTTTTACAACATGTTTGAAGGCCCTGAGAAAGCAAATTGCTTTCCCTTTTTAAAAGAAAATGGTATTTTCTCTTCTTTTTTTGTACATTCATTTCACATTATAGTATTGAAAATAACTAAGCAGTGTCAGTTCCATTGGTCTGTGTTCTTGGTAATCATGGTCCCTGTTACAGGCAGAGTAGTTTTTTAGTATGTATATTGTTTCTTTCCCAAACCTAGTACTGCACATCAAAGGAAAAACTTTTCCTATAGTGTACTATATATGGCTCTCGTCCTGCCCTTTCTCCTCAGAGGCCCCAGCTCTGAGATTTCTCTTATGCTCTGAGGAAGGGAGAAGAAGCAGTGAAGGAAGGCTAAAGAGCATGGCAGCAAAGCAACTCACAAGGCAGATTAGTGTAGTTAAATCGAAGGGCAGAGCCATGGCTGCAAGTGGCAAGCACCCGCACCCGTGGTATATTGGAGGGCATGGCTTTGCATAGAAGTGAGAGCGCAATTGTAGGTTTTCCCTAGAATATTGTCTTCTCAGTTAGTAAAGATTTTATGTGGTCAAGAACCTGAAATGCTTGGATTCCCTTTAATTTTCACAATGTCCCATTTTAAATAAGAGTTAATAAAAAAATAAGCGACATGCCTATGAAATATGGAAATAGGCCCAACTTAGTTAACATTATTTAAGTCATAGAGGCTTCAAATGCAGCTATTTTTATTGCACTTTTAATAAAAATAGTCCTGGACAATTAATTAACAGTGTAGTATCTCATGGGTCTTTCTTTGTGATATACTGTAATCACTTGAGGTAAAAATCTTAGTCCCCAGGAGTGTATCAACATCATAGCTGTTATTTCTTTTCACATAGAAATGTGGAGTGCAGTTGTCAAGCTCTGCACATTTGAGACTTGAGGTCAATCATTCCTATTAACCGCAAATGTTACCATTCCCTGGCTGGAGAAATACAGGGTCGAGCATGTGTGTCCTACGGAAGAGTAGTCATCTGTTTCAGGACAAGTACATAGAATAAAAATTAGCTTAAGTTTTTCCATGTGCACCTGGCATGTCCATTTAAATAAAGAATACCAAAGCAAACATTAAACTCGCATACACCCAAAACCTGGCTCAAAACCACGCTTGATATTCTGGCAGTTCTTCTGGAATTGATTGACAAATTTTTTAATAGGTTAGACACAAGTCCTGGAGGCAACAGGCCTAGTTCATAGGGTATGTCACCACGACGAGGTGGAAACGTAACTGGAGCACGTGCGAGCGTAACTTCTTCGAGTTAGGAGGAAAAACAGTTGCAGTGAAGATGTGGTTGCACGGACTTGTGTTAGCGACAGAGTGTATGTTTATGATCTCCAGCCCCAGCCAGCCTGTATGAACCAAAGACTGATCTGCTGTGTCACACTGCTCTGCTTGCCCTGCTAGCTTGAGTAAGTTAGGATATGATCACACTTCTGCTTTGTGGCATTTTATTCTTCATCTCTGTTTTACTGCAGTGGAACTGCGTGGCTTTTGGTTACACGCTTTAACCAACCAAATCTGAAAATATATAACCTCTGTTTCAGCTTGACCATTTGTAAAGAGATGCTGGGAGGGTGGCTCTGGTTCTCATGAAACCTATATAATTACTTAACCTAATTTCCACTATGCAGGGCACTGATAAGTCCAGAAAGCTCTCCAAAGATATTTTCTTCTTTAAACCAGGAGGTAGCCTCAAAATATGCCTTACCCTGGTCAGTTCTACACCAGGAGCAAAGGAAATGCAAACTGCTGTCAATGTTCACTGCCGAAGGGCTTTGATCATGATGGATTTGATGGAAATGGTGAGCAAGGCTGTTGTTACAAAGTACTGTCCCACAGTGTGTGAGTCTTAGCACGTGCTGCAGTTTCAGTGGATCGGTTCTCAAAGCCTTCCAGTAAGCAGTGAGTAGGAAATACAAATGCATACTTACATTTAACAATGGCAGGAAAAAGAATATTTTTAATGAGAAAAAGACGGTGGCTTTACTTCAAATGGAATTTAAAATCTCATTGTAGGTGGTAGCTGTATGTTTTACCTTGTGGCCCTTTGAATAGACATTTTTTATGGACCAGGAAAATGCTTCTGAGAAGATCATCTCTGGGATGTTGTTGTTTTAGAATCATAGAATCATAGAATACTTTGAGTTGGAAGGGACCTTAAAAGGTCAGCTAGTCCTACCCCCCTTCCATGAGCAGGGGGAGTTTTCTCTGCTGTGACGTAAGGCAGGAGCACACAAGTCAGCGTTTTTCTTAAGAAGCTTACATTAATTTATTTTGACAGCATTTTCAACCCATATAGTAGCTTAGGACTATCTGTTTGTGCTACCTTCCCATTTTAGACAAGCAATGCTTTGCGTGAGACTGTTAATTTGGCAGAGGGCATGGGTTCACATTTGGTTTTCATAGACTGATGGATTTAAAGGCCAGAAGAGACCATTATGATCATCTAGTCTGACCTCCCACTTCAATCAGGGCACAAGCCTCACGCAATCGTTGCTGCAACAAGATCATGACTTCAGTGTGAGCTAGACAGCAGCTTAAAGAAGGCATCCAGTCCTGAGTTGCCTTCCTCTAATTTTTTGCATTAATTTTTCCAACTTCAGACTCCAGTCCCTGGATCATATCATTTTATAGGCATGCAGAGTCAAAATGAAACATCATCCTCAACTGTCCTTTTCAATTACATGTCTGTGATTCCATCTACTTGGACTTATCCCAAGATTATAGGAATATTTATGTTGTATAGTTGTCAGACCATGCTAAATGGACAATCAGCATTCTTTTCACTTTGTACTGGATATTGTAAGAACAGTTGCAAAGCACGCATGGAATGTCAAGATCTTGGGCTAGGTCTGCAGCATGCAGGCTACGTCAGGAAGCATTCAGCCTGGCTTTTGGTTTTTGAGAGCAGTTTGCATCCACTGAGTTAAAGTACATGAAGCCTGTTCACAGAGCAAATGCACAACAACTATTGTCCTTCTTTTAAAAAACAACCCCTGCATTTCTAAGATTAGTTTTTAATAGACAGGTAACGACGAAAATTGGCAAATGACAAAAAAAGATAAGGAAAGGCAGGTGGAAATGTTTAAGAAGTTGCCATTTATGTAGAACATTTCCAAAAATACAGTTGTAATTTGGTTCACCTAAGAAAATGGCAGTAGAACATTAGATGGGAGGAAGGAAGATACTTTGAATAAGCTTATTCTGCCACTCATTTTCACATATAATAATGTGGGAGCATACTTTCCCCAGGCTTAAAACCTGGCTACAATTCACTATCCCGGGAATTCTGGTCTACAGCACTGGATCAATTTTTCAAGATGGCCAGAGCTCCAAATCTGGCATTAAAGTTTTATGCAACCTGGGAAGTTTCAGGTGTGGATGTGAAATGAGTTTGTGACACTATGGAAAGTCTGTGAGCAAGTTAAACTACCTCTGAAATTGAAAAGTCTTTCAGGCCCTTTCCAGCTCCCCCTATGCAGAGTAAAGAAAGAGTACAGGGCTTGAACTCTGCTTCTGGTACGTACTATCATGTGGTAGCCAAAGTGGTACCATGGTCCGAATGGGAATGGAACAGGGGAAAGAACTAGAGGAAGATGCTGCCAAGAGAAAATCCAGGTAAACATACTGTAAGAATTGATGAATTTTTATGACCTTTAAAACTTTCAAGTCAGGCCGGTTTTAAGAGCTGCCATTCGAGTACTTACCCTAGTGAAACTGAAAAGATTGACATTAGTTTCAGAAAGCAGCTGCCGTAGTTCTTGCTATTTAGTAAAGCATTAACATCAACTGATGTTCTTCAGCAGAAGTTTATCAAAGTTCTGATACTTCTTGACATAAAAAGACCCCAATCTCTTGCATACCAAACTGCAAGGAAACAAAATTCCAGGCTTTCCAGTTTGAAAATGACACAGTTCAAGGAGCTAGAGCACAGGAATGCATTAATTTTTGTAAGGCAACTCACTTGTTTAGTAGTTATCCTCCATTTTCACAATTGGGTAATGCAGAGGACATCAAGAGACCTGTGTGAAACCATAATAATATATATGGGTTTATGTTTACAATCACTGGATGGAGAACTTATTCTAAAATTTTGTTCTTTATCCAGGATTTGAAAATATCCTGGATATAATAATCTATATGTAATCTATGGGTAAGTAAATTTCTGTTTCAGAGAAAAATACTTACTCTTCATATATTAATGGCCTTAGTTCAAGACACTTTCAGGTTATTGAAAATCACTGCAGTATTCCATAACAGCTTTGAGAACGTTTTTTCTATATAGTATGTGAAGGTCCCAACGGCTAGCATTTATTGTGTCCAATAATATGTTTGAAATTAGGCAATCCCAAACAAGAATTTACATTTTTCATTTTAAATCTTTTGGTATAAAATATTAGAACATATACAAAATGAATATATGGGCAATAAGAAGGTATATAAATATCATTCCAAGAGTATTTGCACATTTGGACCCTGCCTTAACAAACTTGTTTTTAAAGACAAAGGTTATCTGATACTGTAACTATATATGGTATTTTAACTTTGCATGTGAGTCTCAGCTCTACAGAGGGACATCTAACAGTTGCACAGCAAACATGCCTTTGTAATTAAATGGTCGTTCACAGTACAGCTTATGGAAATATAAGATACAGCTCAAACTGTTCGGTGAAGAATGCCCATTCTTGTTACTCTTTGTTTTAATGGGCTATAAAATAAATGCAGTGTAGAAGGTATTTTTACAGCCAGAGCTTGTGATACACGATCTGCATGGCTGTGCTGGGACGAAAATGCCGAAATTATGTACTTCAAACACCCATCACGCTTCTCGGAAGGGTTATGTACGTAAAGCCATCAAAATCCTGTGCTATCTTTAATGGAACAGGACTGACTGCTCCTCCAGTGTTTACAGCATCAGCCCTGGTAAATGTCAAAGTACGTATGGTTCTGCAGTGAAATACCGCCAGCTTGATTCGTTTGTAGCCATATGCAGGAAGGAGTAAGGAGATTGCACGGCTGCAGAAAGGAAAGGCAAAACCCAAAGTGTTTTAAAACAGCGTTAAATAGGCAGGGAGTAGCAGCACCAGACAACGCACACGCGCACACATTAAATGCATGCACGGGGGTGGTAAGGGGAGGCGGTGGAAAGGATGAGAGAAGTCAGGTGAGTTCATGGTAGCTGAAGGGACTCAAGCGATGGAATAGATACATCGGGGGAAAAGTAGTAGTGTGAAGAGAAGAAGCCCATTAATAAAAGATGAGGAGGGATGAAATTAATGAGAGCTCTGCAGAGACACTACAGCCCTTGTGAAGAGAGAAGCACGGGGCCCAGTTCTGGTATGCTTGTTCAGTACTTCCTAGAGGCTGGGGACTGCGCGGAGGACAAAGTACAATTAAAAGGCAGGGACTGTCAGCCTGTCAGGAATACTAAGCAAGGGACTAGTCTCACACGTTTACATAGGTGAATAACTGTGAGGAACAGCTTGTCACGCCAGCAGTCCCCAGGATTTTCAAAATGAAATATATGCCCCTGAAGTTACTGAAATAAATTACTCTTTAATGGCTTACTTCTTTTTTTTCCTTCTTCTTTTTCAAGTTCTATTTCCAGTGGTTTTTTTATCTCTGTGGAATCTTTGCATTTAGGCAAAACCAGGAGGTTTTCATGCCCATGTGTTTCCAGAAGATGGAATTTCACATAGAAGAGCAGTTATCTCGGGATGTGTAGTAAAAAGCGAGGAGCTGGTAGTTGCAAGCTCCACGGTGCACGGCAGGGTCCTGGTCCCAAGGCAGCCATTCCAGGGAGCAGGTCACAGCCCTCACATGCTTGGATTTCCTTGCTGTGGATCTGGAGAGATCTCACATGCAGTTGCACAGTGGCCAGGATGCGGCCTCAGATCTGGAAGCTGTTGCAAATATTTATTGCAGCCGTAATCAGTTGATAAACACAGACATAAGCCACAAGTTTTCTCTTAAGAGCAATTAGTGAAGGCTCAACCTGTGAGTAGATATTTCATTCTTATGCGTAGAAACGATGCTTTTCTTTAGAAATATTTATTAAAAAATATGAGTCTATTGAACTAGGGAATTAAATCAATCATCAGATCAATCCCCTCCAGCACTGTGAATCCCAGGAAGAAAGTGCTGACCCATCTACTGCGTCCTTACAAATACAGTCCCAAAGGGGCACATACTTGGAGACCTCAGTTAGCAACAGGCTTTTAAATTCAGATGTTAGATTCAAAAAGTGTTCTTGGCCAAAATAAATCACTTTTTTTGGTGAAAAGTTTTTAGCCTCCCTATTGTTTTCCTTACTCCTTTTTTTTTCCCCTGACTAAAACTAATTGCTTAATCTAGTTTTTAGAAACTTTATTTTCTAGAATTCACTCTTATCTTGAACTTTTCTGCTCTCTTGTCTTGTCATACTCGATGCATAGACAAAATATTTAATGGAGCATATCAAAATGAAAGTCTTATGTTCATACTTATGTAATTACAAAATTCAGAAAATATATCCATTTTTCAGCTGTTCACCTAAACGTTAAATTCTTCAAAATGCTAATATGTTATTTTCTTTCTTTTTGACAGCAAAATCTAGAGAGTAACCTCACCAACCTTATTAAGAGGAATACTGAACTGGAAACTCTCTTGGCGAAACTCATTCAGACCTGTCAACATGTAGAGGTGAGTACTGACCTCCATTTGAAATACTTGTAAACTTAATTATGTGCACTTCTAGCACTCGGGAACAAAAGTTGAAACAAAAAAACCAACAAGCGCAGAACTAAATTAAAATAGTGGTGAACTGATTTGGAGCTTTTTCACTGGTAAATGGTATTCTCAATAGAGATGACCTCCTTTACATCCTTCCTATCCCCTTTTAATTACGATATGTTTGTATGGCCCCCACCACTACTATATGTGAGCACATCACTCACTATCTGTAACATGTTTATCTTTCTGAGTCCTTTGTGAGGTAGAGTAATATTTACAGGTGGAAAACCAAGGCAAAGAAACAGTAACGCCCAGATCCACAATGATATTTGGGTTTCTATCGGCCACTGATCTTCTTTTTTTTCTTCATCAGAATTAAGTATCTAACTGCATACGTGGACTCAAAAGTCATACATTAAATATATCTATCTTCAGAAGAAGAAAGGTGCCTACAGGCCTTTGAGTTGCCTCAGTTACGTATTCTACTTTGATTATCACAGAAAATCTTTGGCAGGGAGGGACCTGAATCCATATTTCCCCAAAATCTGGGGGATTTTTTAGATGGCCCCATGGGGTCTGCTGCTCTACATGCAAATTAAAATAATCACAGACTAATTCAGCCATGGGACCTGACACAGGAAGAGATCAGAGTCTTTTTTAGCAAAACTTTTCTTTTTACTTTTTGCCACGCTGTAAGACCTTTTCAGTCCCTTATAGTACATTCAGGTCAACAAAGCCCAAACCACTATGAACAAAAAGTTTCCATATCATAAAAAACTTGCAAAAGACAACATGAGTTTATGCTTTCTGCTAGTAAATATTATACAAACATCCCCATGGCATCAAAACTTTATCACCAGTGCTTTCCTCATTGTCAGTCTCAGCCATGAGTCCCAGGTGACACGCCAGATATAAAACATTTTTACCCCTCCTGCAGGTAGGTTGTGGCTGAGAAGCACTGGAAGACTGGGAAAGGCTCAACATCATGAGGCGCATGTGCTTGCTGACAGATATACTGGATTCACTGAGATACGCCAAGTTCATCATTTGCAGTGCTATCAGTTTTCATAAGTTCCAAACTCAATTTCAGAGGGCTTGGGAAAGTTAATGGGGTGGGAATCAGAGGAGCTGGCACGACATAAATACTGCTGATTTACAGTGGAACAAGCTTTAGACCTCAGCCACAGAGAAAAGGTATTTTTCACTTTCCCTGAAGTTTAGCAGGGAAAACTTATTTTCCCTGTGAAAAATGGTTGAGTTTTTGTTTGCATTACAATGCTGTCTGTTGACAGGCTTCTGCATAGGACCATTTCACTTCTGACTGCATTGCAATTCCTGCAGCAGCCTCGCTTATTCAGAGAAGGGTGCACTGTATATTCCTAGCAGGCAGGCAGCATTAAATAATAGTATTGTGTGGAAAAGGTATTCCACTTTGAGTATAGTTGTCTATATATGTGAAAGGAAGCCACGTTTCTTCACCAGTTTTACCTGGGGAATAGCCCTGGGGAATTTGAGAGAGGAAGGTAGCCTTAATCAGAGCTTCTGAAACATGGATATAATTTAAGAGAACGTTAGCTGTGACATAAACTGCTGTAACGCAGCCACCTGCCGGCTCTGCAGAAAGGCACTTGGTTTTTAGAGAAGCCTCTTTTTCTTCCTTATAAAGTTCCGTGGAAGTTCTCCATAGGGCTGCTTCTTTTCTGTCTTTTTCAGACTAAAATTCAGTGACCTAATTAAGCCCAAGAGCAACTTTTGCTTGTAAATAGATTCAAAGTCACATCTTGAAAATCTGGCATCTGCTTAAGTACCTTGTTGACCGTCGCAATGGCAAGTTGAAAAGAAGAAAAGTTGAAGAAAAAAAGAAAGAAAGGAAAAAAAACCCACCCCAAAAACCTAAAGCAAACCAAAAAACCCAAACCCCCAAACAAAACAAAAAAACCCAAGACTGTTTTTCCCAAGAGATCATCTCATCCATTCTTGTGTCTGCTCCACCTCTGTGGAGCCTCACTGACTTCACGGGGCTCAACAAAACCATAAAAGTCTACCCACGGTATCAGACCTGAGGTGAATGGTTTGAGTTCTTTATATAGGCAGCAATAACGTCAGGCAGAACAACTGTAGTATCAGCTGGAATGACTGTAGTAGGTAATCAGAGAGAGACAAGGCACGTTGTCTTCCACTGTATATAAAACCCACGAAGCAGATGGGCCCAGGACAGCATAAGGCCTCTTCTTCATTAGTGGCCTATGTCCAAGATGGGCTAGATCTGGAAAATTTAAAATCGTTCCTCCGTCTCCTCTGCAATTCTGCAATATATTACCAACTCTAAGGTTTAGTATTACAAAAAATCCAACTTGTTCAACTGGTAACAGATGCGCTACTGTCCCTGGAGCCCTCTTTTAGAAAATTTCTCTGTAGACATAAAGCAATAGCAGCAAAGTTGTTAATGAATTCCTACCACGTTTTATTCGTCAAATTAGTCTAATTAGCATTTAAATTAGCTAAATATTAAGAAATGAGCTTCAGTCAAAACCCTGGACCTAGGCCGTGCTGGAAATCAGGCAAGTGGGGATGTGGAAGTAAACTTTAAAGCTATCTCTGTTTCTCAGAACTCTGTGAAAATTTTAGATATGATGTGAATATTTCCAACACTAGAGAAGCTGAGGCTTAGAGAAATTTTTAAAAAGTCAGTATGCTCTCTTTCTTTATGCTTCTTCATGACAGAAATTCACCCCAATCCAGAAACCTGAATGAAGCAAACAGTGTACTGGTTGTAACATTAATGTTACAAATTTAAAATTACAAAATGTTAGGAAAAGAAAAGCTGAAGTTTCCAATGATTGTATTAGTGTTGCCGTATGAACTCACTCAAAGGTTGAAACCAAACAAGTAGTTAATTTTATAGGAAATGTTTTCTTTTTCATTTTTTGATACAATATATTACAGATGATGATGTAGAATACATTGTATACAGTTTGTAAGCATGTAAAAATATAGGTGGTGCACTGTAAAAACTGCTGTTACATACCTAGATTTTCCTTACCTAATTTTAAATAATTTTAATAATGTTATTTTAGTGCTTATTTAGATTTGGGGGGGTTTAAAACCAGTTGGAAAAAAAAAGAAAAGAAGCTTTGGGTTTCCCACATAATTTGAACTTTGAAAAACAAGGAAGGAAGGGAAATTATTATTCCTTGTGTTAAAGTTACAAGTTTTTATTGAGGGATATATAAACTTTAAAAAAAGTTATGCTAATTAACATTTATTTGTAGAAATAAACACTGACATTTTTAAAAGCCTTTGTCCTGTCAGAAACCAAAAAATGCAGTATTACATGAAAAATGAAAAAGGATTGTCTTTTTTGGCTGTTGATATGGAGCAGAAGCTGATGTTTCCGAAAATGAACAACAAACGGGCTCTGTGTCTTTTGAATAAATGAATCCTCACCAGCCAAACCAAATGTTGTCTCAGAGCCACTGTTTCCCATCAACCAAGTGAGCTGTTAATGGCTTCCCAGCAACCAGCTTCGCTGCAGATTAATTATCTGCCCATACATCCTTCGCATCAGGCAATTGAAACTTCATCGATAGCAAAGGCCAAATCCCAGTCTCCCTGTGTTTTAAAACTGGTGTTTACTCCCTTCCGAAAGAGAGTTGTTTTCACTTTCTGCTCACATGAGCAGGCAAGGACTGATGGGGGAGGTTCGTTATCTGGAAGCCTTCCAGCCGCCGAGGAGGGGGGATCTGGGGCTGCCTTTCATCACAGCAACGGAGGCATAAATCTTGCCTATTTTTAGATGGAGTTTATCAACTTATAACAAGATTTATCCTGATGGGGGACCTGATCTTGGGAGACTCAAGAAGTCCAGTCTTGCATTCCTGTGGGTGGTTCTGGGCATATCAGTGGAAAAACTTCTGTGAATAAATCAAGCCAAACTTGTATTCTTTACTGCTTTAAGTACAGCAGAGATATTATTAAGCATTTTATAATATCTGAATGACTGATTTCATGCCTAATATGGAAGTATAATCTGTGCTAATGCTTTGTTTATGGCAACGCTTAATTTTTAAAATCCCATTTTCTCAATAGGAACCACACCCTGAAAAGTGAACACTTGAGACTGTAACATGCTTTCTGTCCCAAATCTTTCTGTTTTGTTAGGAGCATCCTGGCACACTGGTTTTACTTATCTTTCAGACACATCCCTAACATGTTTTTTGTTTTACACTCATTTTTCCATCTTTCCACTCTCCCTTCCTCTGTAATCCCGTCTGTCATTTCTTGGCTTTGCAGAAAATCCGAAGGCTGTTAATCAGGAAAGTTTTGTTTGCCTTCCTTGGAGACGATGGCAGGTCTACAACCTGACGCCTTTGGCCAGGCTGCTTTCTGCAGAGCACCCCCTCGCTCGGGGCAGCTCGCTGGGTTGGCCCCGGTGATTCGGCTCTGCTCCTCACTCTCTGTAGGGAGGGGGGCTGTGGTGCCTCCCCAGGGACAGCAGGACTGGCTGCGTCAAATGAGAAACTGGTTCATAGGATAAAGTACGGTTTTCTCCACAAACTGAGAGAATGGAATAGAAATGGCTACTAATGAACAGTAGTTCATTTGTAGTCCTATTTCACAGCATTCACGCATAGTATCTGTAGAAAACTTTTTTAAAAGCATTAAAAACCATCCTGGAGAATTTTATCTTTAAATTCTGTGGACATTCACCCAATGAGAGAGCCCTCTAGCACGTGGCTAAATCAGCGTGTGGCTCTTAAAAGTCCGTAACAACATCGTGCGTGTCAGGAAAGCAGCTACTTAGTTCTGGAGCTATTAGAAGGGAAAGACGTTTGAGGGAGAAGGAAATAATGTAAGTATTTATGCTTTGGCATAAATTAACAGTCTGGGTACAAGCCCTCTACCTCAGCTGAGGGAGAAGAGGCTCTAGCTCGATCCAGTCCCACTGGGTGAAACAAGGCTGCAGTAGT